GCTTGAGGTAGAGTTGGTGTTTTTCTAGTGAAAAATTATATATTTACATTGAAAGTTTGGACATTTCTGTCACATTTTTGTTTTAAATATTTCAATAATATCACAAATACTTATGTCATATTCATAAACAGTGACGCAACAACCCCATATATTCGCTAAATGATCTGACCTTATATTGATTATGATTACATATTTGTAAATGTTTGGTACATACGAAATTCGTGATCCATGTTTTATTCATTCTACATCCCGGAAAATCGGTTCTCCTTCCCTCTAGTCATTCAAATGGATCGATCCATAACACTCTTACCCTTCATCCTGACCTGGCTATCTGTTTAACCTAGTTTCCACTCGTGCCCCCTTGAATTCAGTGATTGAAAAAATATATTAACTTGTTACAGACTTGATGTCTTGATCAAAGTTTTAGAAAAAAAGTTAATGTAAAAGTAAACTTATGGAAATAGACTTTGTCAAAGTATCAAACTACGAGTTTAGTACGTGAAAAAAAAAGTAAATTATCTAACTGATTGTTAGTGAAGGTCGCTTTAAATTTGATGGTGGTTTTAGTTGTTAAATGTATGGATTACGTCAGCTGAATCACTCAGTGTTTTCACTTTTATGCAAATAAAGGTTGATTTAAAGCAAACACTGCTATGATTAGAAGTATCCTCAAAAATTCAAAGAAAAAACTTATTCGAAATTTTAAAATTGATTTTCTAATTGGTTGAAACTCTTTTGATCAAAGTTTTTCAAGAAAAGTTTTTTTTAAACTCAAGTGGAGTAAAATCAAATAAGGATTATGAAATCTCAATGCTGTCTCTGTGTGTAAACATATACAAAATGTTTTGACTATTTGTCATAGAGTCATTGCTTGTAAAGTTTCATCTGTTTCACAGTTGGTTGCGTTACTTGAAATATAAAAAAGTAGATTTATCTCTGCCTTTATAAAACTGATAAATTGGGTTGTACAAAGTCATTGATATTGACTATGTATATGGACAATAATTTCAGTGTCATCATAAATATTTCAAGGTTTTGAATAAAATTTGTAATTGCGGGGAATCACGTACGGCTTCCAGCTGGGTAATGTAGAATGAGTAGTGAAAGTACAGTACGAGTTTGAAAAATTACTTCCTCTAATCGCCATACCTTAGCACCTGTATATTTCTTATGTTTTGAGCTAGGTCAATGACTAGGTCCTCATGTTTTAATTAAAGTTTTGATTAATGGTGAATGTACATTACTTTATTAAATTTAGGAGGGGTTATATGAGACGTCTTATTGTCACGACATCTTAATTACACTGATTGAGATTGAAATCAGAGCAGCAATTTATTTTTAATTGAATTAACAAAATGGACTACAATGAAATTTATAATTGTGTTGAAGTATTTGATCATCTCACGAACCAAAGACTACTCATTCTTTCTACTTCATTAGCAAAAAATGTTAATCTTTGGGAATTTATAGCAGTGGATATTTGAATCAGGTTAACACAATAGGTCAAGGACTTAATTTAAACGAAAATAAATATTTTTTGATGACATAAGACTCTGACATTGGTTATTATCAGATGAGTTTGTAGGTGTATGTTTGGTATTCTCAAGTGCATCTTCATTGTCACTGATTATCATAATTTTTTATTAAAAAAGTTATAATGAAAACGGAGAGAAAAATCTTGAAAGACGTAACTTCTGTTTATGTAAGCTCTTGTTTATTTATTTTCTAGTGTAGTAACTACTCGTAAATTAGAAAATTAAAGCATTTTATTTTAAAATAAAAATGTTCAAAATTTTTATGCCAATTTATTGATCTACTATTTTCCCTCTTTATCTGTGTGAGGATGTTTGACATCAACGTATCCTTCTCTAGCAGTTGTGACTATAGTAGTAAAAATATTTTTGATGGAAAACATCTTGATAATTTTTTAAATATCGCGTGCGTAAAGTAGGTAATAATACCTGTCAATAGGAGTGTAAGTTGGTAATAAATTACAGTCTATAGTTTTTTCTTAGTTTATTTACGATGTACCGTTAACTGCAATATACACGTGAGTAAAGCCACAGGATATTCATTAATTTATTGCAGCATTAGATTTATCATTACAGGATATAATCTAGGCTCTAGGAAATGCAATACTTAACTCTTTCAGGTTCTGATTTGTGAATTACCTAATTTGGTAAACAGAATTTCGCCTTTAGAAACACATTTATTAATATCTTATGAGAGGCATTTGTGTTTATAGTGATTGACATAAAGTATGTACGAGGAAATGTTGATAAAGAGGAAACAAATCATTCATGTAATTTACATTTCCGATTTTATATTAGACTAAAAAATAGAGAAATTAGCCCACTTCCAAATCTGAAGAGGACTCACGATCCAGTGAGTTCGCGTGACTTTAATTTTTTGTCAAATAATTTAGGCCAATTAGTAATTGCTTAACGGGTTTTTATTGGCATTTGTTAAACTTTCACATAAGTAGTAGTAATTCAGTAATTAATTAGAGGTAATTTAATGTATTTTGTTATCAGTAGTAGCACGTAACATGGCTAAGAATTTGCATTAAAACTCGGAAGTTGAAACAATAGCGAGAAAATTTTAATAAGTATTTATCCTTTTGTTGGGTAAATTTATCTCTACCTACTCATACTGAACCAACAAAGAGGAGCATGCGAAAGCCATTTGATTAGCAGCAACTAGAATTCCTGAGGCAATTTATTTTGTGTTTTCAATGTGAGCTCTACGCTATTAAAATGTGTTTTTTTTCTACATAAATTAATCACCAACATTCTTCCATCAAAAAATTTGCTTTTAAATTTTCACTTTATTCACTTAAAATATAACTGTGTCGAGTTCATGGCGGTTTAGCTTGGTTGGTATTACTGTAGTTGGATAATTGGTTCCACTTGCTGCCCGCGACATTTTTGCTTCATTGCCGACATCCTCTCTTCACCAATAGCATCGCGTATTTTTTGGCTAGACAAGTGATTTTTCAGGGGTTCCAAAAACTTTAAGTTGGTTAAGTTGGCAGCATTGATTAATGTAGAAACTGTGACGAGACTTCTGTTGCCAACTTAATTTCAAAGCTACAAGCCACTTTGTTTAGAAATTCAATTGAAGTTGGCACTAGAAACTTCCTAAACTTTGAAAGGAATGTTATCTCGATTATAACATTAGATTCAACAAATTTTATTAACGAATTGCATGTTGTATTTTTTTATATTATATAATTATGTTTTATTTGCGTGGCCATAAATATGACTGACTGCTTTTTATTAACAAGTCGTGCCAATAAAATTTTCGAAATCTGTGTAAAGGTAACAATTTGGTGCTTGTAATTCTAGTCACTTGTCTGAGATGGTTACAAGTGGGTCGTACAACTGACTTGTAATACCACTTAATTAGTCATAATATTTATTATAGAAGTGATGTAACGCGTAATAAAATATAAAATTTACGTCTGATAGTCAGAAATGTTCTAGATTAGCATAAATTTGCATCTAAAAATACTAAATTGGGATAATATCAAAATTGTTGATGTAGGCTCTTAATTGAATATTGTATATCCTGAAGAAATGACAATTGAGTGTTTCCGTTTGAGGTTCAGAGCCATGCAAAATTATTGACCCTCTTATATAAAGGTCATTAACTCAATTATTTCATAAGAAAGTTGTGAGCAATGAAATGGATCGTGGTAATGGTGACGAAAGCGGTCTACCGATTTTATTTAGTAGAAGTATTTGATGATTTTTTCATGCACACCTTTTTTTATTTGTTGGGAATAAATCTTTTCTTTGAATCAGATTTCTAATAATTTTAGTATTGAAAACTTTTTGCTTGTTTGTTCATACGAGTTGAGGGATGCTGTTCTCTGAACAATTAAAACTAAATTAATTACAAAGTACTCGAGGTTTGCAATCGACTTGCTATACAGTGTCTGATTAATGAAGAGTAATTGCAATTTGAGGAAGTTTGTCGTTATACTTGAGCAAATTCGATCTGGAATAATTTCTGTTTTGTAGAGAAATCGTATTTTCAGAACGAAATTCTGTTTTGTTTTTGAGATATGCGATTTTTTTTTGTCAAAATTGCAATTTATGTGAATTTTTTTTTTTTTTAAATTAAATATAATGAAGATAGTTGTAATCCTTAGAGTATAGCTTTTATGAGAAAAATGATTTTCTAGTGGGTTGCCATTTAAAAAAATTAAGTTTTTTGTAGAACTCAAAAACAAAAGGAAATTTCGAAAAATTTTATTCTTGTTAAATGATCACATTTTTATAGTACTTTATCACACATCAATTAGTTTTTTCAAAAAATAAATCGTTTAAGCAAAAAGCGTTTGGTTCCATACTTTTTATTCACCTGGTATGTAATTTTCATTAAGTGTAATAAAGTTGTTCAGTCGTATTCCACATTCCATCATGTACTTATGCATGCAGTTAGGTATTTAATATTTGTCTAACATAAGAAGGCGTCCGATTTGCCAAATCACTTAACGGTATCTAAAAGGAAATCCTTTCGACTTTAATGTTGCTGAATTATTTTGAGCTTTTACACGTGAAAAATATTTGTGATACAAAACGATGTCATTAATGCAAAGCCTAGTTTCAGCTTTTGTATGTCACGGGAAGTGGTTTTTTTCTTCCTTTAGAAGCGCTTTATGCAACTTTATTTTCTTGACCAAGAAGGTCACGTAAGAAGCTTTGAAAGTTTTAAAAAGAAATCAGTTTCAGAGAAGTTTTATAATCTGCATGTTTTTTTCTGCTTCCTGGTGTGTTTTCAGTTTCATTTATGAAATATTCAACGCTGGAAATTATTTCACAACCGCTGTATTTCCGTATTTACAAGAAATTATAGCAACCATGTGTTAGAATTAAAAGGAAGAGTCGCAATAATTTGTTACATCGTCTGAGTGAATGTACTCCAATATTTAATTTTAGAAAAGATCTAATTTTAAAATCGTTATAATAATATTTTTGTTCAATTTTTTTCAGACTGATCCGAATACAGCTTTTTTGAGGGCAGCGAGGGCGAATCAGCTGGACAAAATTCAAGAATATTTGGATTCTGGGACAGTGAGAGATATTAATACGTCAAATGCGGTAATTTAATTTTAAAAATAGTTTTAGTCAATGCATTATGCCAATTTAAAGGGAAATTTATTTTAATAACGCAAATATTTACATCATATTTGCTTCTTTGTGATTATAGTGGTTTATTTGAACGGTTCGATAAAAGATTATATCGGAAATGTATCAATCAAGTTTAAATCAAAGCGCTATTAAAACGTTGCATTAAACATAAAGTGAGGTGATTATGTCGTCAATTACATTTACAAAAAATGATAGACGTGGATATCATAATTAATGAACACTTGTTGTAAACATAGCGAGTAAATTTGTTAAAAGAAAAATATTTCAATGTTGACGTTAGCTTTTACTCCAATTCAATTATTTAAACAATTTTATGAGGATTTTTCTAGTGTTATTATTGATGGACTCGAAGTTGAGAGTCGTTTCAGTTTGTCAACAGATTGATACATTTTCCAATTCTCCTTTTGATTATTTTTCCACTGAAATATGTACATACAAACATAAAGAAATCAGAAAGATTTTGCAATGTAAACATACAAATTTTTACAATCTTGTATAAATATTTTTGTAAATAGGACACCTGTTCAAAAAAATCATTGCATTGATCACGATCCATTATAATATTTCAAATTTAAAACGTGCTGTTTTACATTTAGAGAGAGTTTGGGAAGCAATAATAATTTTAAAATGCATTGTCTGTATTCTAGAACGGTCTGAACGCTCTACATCTGGCTGCAAAAGATGGCCATGTCGAGATTGCTCGAGAATTACTAAAACGAGGTGCTATAGTTGACGCTGCCACCAAAAAGGGAAATACAGCACTTCACATAGCATCATTGGGTAGGTTTTTTTTCAATGAGACTTGAAATAAAAAGACAGGAAGTTGCGCTCTGGTTGTTGCAGTAATTGCGATATTTTTTAACCATAAAAACAACAACAGTGCGCTTGCACTCTTCAAATTTTATTCGATGAATTTATTTTATAGCGGGACAAGAAGAAATCGTGAGATTGTTAGTTCAGCATGGTGCTTCTCTTAATGTACAATCACAGAATGGATTCACTCCACTCTATATGGCCGCTCAAGAGAATCACGATGGTGTTGTTAAGTATTTATTATCGAAAGGAGCTAACCAAACGTTAGCTACTGAGGTAACTAACTGAGTTACTTATTTTCTTAATTAATTAGTGGTTAATTTTTAGGATGGTTTCACACCGCTGGCAGTAGCAATGCAACAAGGCCATGACAAAGTCGTTGCCGTTTTACTCGAGAATGACACAAGAGGAAAAGTAAGACTCCCCGCTTTGCATATAGCCGCCAAGAAAGACGACGTTAAAGCAGCCGCTTTATTATTACAAGTAATGATTAATTATACCTCAATGTAAGAAAATCTGCTCAAATGCATAAACATTTCAGAATGAACATAATCCAGACGTAACATCCAAAAGCGGTTTCACACCGTTGCATATAGCTGCTCATTACGGCAACGATAAAGTGGCATCATTGTTGTATGATAAGGGGGCTGATGTTAATTATGCAGCAAAACATAATATTACACCGTTACATGTTGCTAGCAAGTGGGGTAAAAATAATATGGTTACGTTATTAGTGGCTAAAGGTGCAGATATTCAGGCGAAAACGCGAGATGGACTTACGCCTTTGCATTGTGCCGCTCGATCAGGACACGATCAAGTGGTTGACATGTTGCTGGAAAATGGGGCCCCGATGCATGCGAAAACGAAGGTTAGTCCATAGAGAATTTAGTTTTTTTCATTTAGTGTAAATTTAAAGTCATAGTGACTACTTCCCCGTTGAGTTGTGTAATTCCGACTTTAAATATCCAATTGTTTTTTTAGGGACAATTCTGAAAAAGACGGGTTAGAATACTTTACCTACATATACTCAGTGTTGCCCGATCAAAAACATAAAATTCATCAGATTTGAGTTGAAAAATTCGCCAGATTACGATTTGTTTGACTATATGTGACGAAAAAACGCTGTTTTCAGCTTAAAAATCCGCTTAAACTCTTGAAAAAACAAAAAATGACATGTATTTCCGTTTAATTCTGTGATTTTTCGGTTTGTTTTCAACAAAATTTTGGGAAATAATTGCGTTTCTAGTTGAAAAACGTGCTCGAGAAATGATAAAATAATGTAATTCTAGATTTAATTTCTTGATTTTTTAGTTTGTTTTTTTAGTGAAATCTAGTGAAAAACCTGAAATTTTGTTCAAAAAGCAGTTAAATCGAGTGAAACAAACAAAATAATTGTTTTTTGATTTTTAAGCATGTTTGGACAAGATTTTGCTAATTTTGCAAAATAAATTAGCCTCTGGTTCAAAAACGAAATAAGCGGAACAAGCTAAAAATAATATCAATTTCGA